AGAATTTCTAGAAAGTGACTCATTCAAAAATATTCTCCCTACAAACTCTTCATATTTCAGATACATAGACGACTCGTTATTAATAATTCCAAAAACACCAATTTAACGGATCTTCTCTCCAAACTTAACAATATTGAACCTACAATAAACTTCACTCTCGAAACTGAAACCAACTACACTCTTCCGTTCCTGGACATTTTGTTAATTAGAAATAACAACGAACTCAATTTTGACGTTTACAGAAAGGCTACAAACAAAATGATCTTATCAGCTTCTACTCAAACCACCCTTCAAAAATTAAATCTGGAATTATTATAGGTTTCTATCTAAGAGCATTAAGAATCTGTAGTCCTCAATATTTATTTAAAGAAGAAACATACATAGAAAACACATTCAAAAAACCTACAATACCCATATCATTTCATCCACAATGCAAGAAGAAAGGCATACAAAATATACAAACGAAACAAAACTAATAACACAATCCGCAATAGTAAATCACATGAAAACAGATACATAATACTACCGACCAACTCTGTCACGTCCACGATCCAGAATAACCTATCCCATTTAAATAATCTTGAAATAGTCACAAACACTTCCAAAACCATTATAGATATACTAAGATCTTCAAACAATAATAGCACTAATATTTCTGAAGCAGGCATTTATAAAATAAATTGCCAAAACTGCTCCTCCCAATATATTGGAGAAACAAGTAGAAGTTTGAAAAAACGCATATATGAGCACAAAAGAGACCTCACAAAAAACAACTTAGCTAATGCAATAGTAATACATAGAAATAAATACAACCATAATTTTGATTTTAAAAATGCTACACTCATAAAAAAAGAAAATCACTCACTCAGAAGGAAAGTTTTGGAGAGTGCCGCCATAGAAAATTATCCAAATATTAATTTACGCCCAGGCTTTTTCCCTATTTCACCTTTCTTAACAAAATTAATGCTCTTACAAACAAACATCCACAACAGATTCATAAAATCGAAAGAAAATGGTTGAATACATCAACACAGATATAATGACAATATTCTCCACACGTGACAATCTCTGACGTTATTTCTCATTTAAAAAATATGAAAATAGCGTTTCTCTACATTCCAGTTGCTAGGTACATTCTGTTTTTGTTTTTATTAGTTACGTTGTTCATTTAATTTCATTAATATCGATTCTATGTCTGGATATAATTATTTCGTGTGAGCTATAAAAAAAAACTGAAAGTTTTTTTTGTTTTTTTTTTGTTCTTTGTTTCTTTTTTAAACTAAGCAAAGTTGTCTCGCACGCAAAATGATTTGGCTTTGATTAAAAGAGTATTTGCGAAATTCCTCTCATAGGCAACAAGCTGTCGGCGTAAGAAACGAATTAAAAAATAAAGAAAAAAAAGACAAGGTGAACATATCGTCGTACAAAAAGAAGAGAAGATAAATTTTGTTCGGGCAGCTTCACTAGTTTGTAAATTAAGGTATAGAAAGGAGTAAATCTGTTAGTTTTTTTTTGCTTTCTAAAGGATGAATTTTCCCTTATTACCGCTGGTATTTTAAATACCTTCACTCCTGGGCAATGTTTATTGTTTTAAAAAAGCAATGAATAGAATTGAAAAAAAAAACTAAAAAAAAAAATGGAGGTGTATTCATATATATTCTTGAGAATTGGCAACAAAAATAATAAATATTATTTATATATTAGATTATTTATTTATTATTGTTTATTGGGATGTTTGACTAATTGATAACTGATTCAAACTTTATTAAATTGTGAATAATAAGAATTTCCTTATAGTTGGGTCACATATTTAATGATTTAGTAATTTTTTATAAATTTATAAAAAAATTGTTTTTATGTTCATTTATTTATAAATTGGTAAATGATAAATATTGCATTGCATTAGTTCTAATTGAATTAGTTTTAGAATATTGTAAATATAATATTAGTTTTGTAAATAAATAATCTAATAAATAAGCACAGCTTAATGATCATGCTGTAAACTCTCAAGAACAAAAATATAAATTCACTTTCATCATGAAGATCTCCTCATTTTACAGTTTAATTGGCTAGATATAACCGTAAGTTCTATGCTAACAGTTTCTTCTCTCGCACTTCTTTCTTGTGCAAATATCTTCGGGTTTCTTGATTTCCGGACAAGTTTGATCCTCAAAACTTTAAATGCAAAGTCAATCGTTATTTAAAGTCTTCTTGATTCCTCTTCTTTTATTCTTTTCGCTCTACAATAAGTTTTTTTCTTCTTTTGCATTTTTTCACACTTAGTAACCCCTTGTGTCACATTGGCTGGCACATAGTGAAATTATTAAAATGTTTTGTTTTTTTTGTTTGTTTGTTACAATTCTTATTTTCGCTATTTTATGCTAAAAATTTGCAGTGAGTGAAGGTAGGTAAAAATAATAGCCGTGTGAGCGGAAAAACGTAATTTTGAAAATAAAAATGTATTTTTTTCTGCAGGTACGAACGGTGAAGATTACTAAACCTGTCCAGTACTCGGATGGGTGACTGCTTAGAAATAAGAGAAATTGTAAAATCCCTTGTTCCAAACGTGATTAAAATGTGCCTGCAGCATCGAAATTGCTCCCCAAAGTTGAACTTGTGTGACACTATTTAGCTATGGTAATTGGTTAACTAATTAACCATAGAAATTAAAACAGGAAAATACTGAGAACAGAAAAGAAGATACTCCGATTTTTTTTTTTTTTTTTTTTACTTAAGAATAAAATCGAGTCACTTTTTCAAAGACCCGCAAAAAAGACTCGCGGAAAAGCCGTATGTGAGCTTTTTGACAATAGACTAATGTTGTTTGTAAAAGAATGCTTGCCGAAAGTACACGAGATTCAGAAAAAGCAAAGCGTTGAGATATCGGGCAGGCCATATGGTGATCATAAAAATTTCGGCATGAGATGAATTGCCGATACGGAGTAAAGAGAATCAATATTCACTGTCTTCCCAAGATATCATTTTTCTTGAGTGCCGGCCATATGGCAATGTATGATACGTAAACATTTTGGCATAAGAAAATATTTATTCCGATACGGTGTGGATAGAATTGTTATTATATACTTTTCCAAAGTGTCGTCTTCAGGCGCCGACACGTTGAGTAGCAATATGGTGATTATAAAATTTTGGGCATGAGAAAAGATATCGCGCAAGAATCGTGATTTCGGAGATAAGAAATTTAATTTCTCAAGAAGCCAAGGGTTCCAGTAAAAGCTAACTTCATGAAGGGACCAGATGATAGGCTTTGACAAGTGATTAATGGAATTTGTAAAGTGTGCTGGTTAAGAAGATTCTGAGTGACCAAAAGATTTGAGAGATTTTAATTGGCAATTTGAGATTCGTAAAAATTTTGGCCGATGGGATACAAGAATTTTGTAAAGAAAAATCCTGGGTTATATTTTCTAATGAAGACAGGTTAGCCACACCCGCACGTATTGGATGCCATTCGTCGTGTGGTAGTAATGGTGACAGGCGGAGGAAATTTGATGAGAAGGACGGGGAAGTTATTAACGCCCACTGAAGAGATTGGTGCGAGGTATCAATGTGAGAGAGGGGGAGTTTAAGAGGATAGCTCTCCTCCGACCTCTCCTCACGGAAGAAGAGATCCCTGAAAATTGAAAGTGATTAATTTTTCCAAAAACAGCAAGTAATCAATGTTCCTGGCCTGACAACAAAGAGATCTTCTCTGAAATCGAGATTTACCGAGAACCCCAGACTGCGTCTAACCCCGCACCCGTTTTTGGTCGGTACCCATATAAACGAACGTCCTCGAGCCGTTCGACAGTTAGTGCCGTCAGAGAGTTAGTCAAAGAGTTTGATTAGTTCGAGTGGCAGGAAACAGAGTGTTGCCTCTCAGAAGCTGACCGAGAGATTCCACGAGCTTCGACTTCGCCTATCCTAACAATAGCAAGTTATACTGACGAACGAAGCCAAGCCAGCACCTAAAAACTAAACCAGTTGACTTAAGATACCAAAACTTGTTTAAGAAGCGTAGAAGCGTCACACTCTGTAGAAAACGGGTTGGGAGAAAACACACTCCTGTATATAACAGACCGATAAAGTTAATTTGTTATTTTTTAACATATTGAACCTCTTCAGGTTTTTTTTTTTTGCCTCTTTTTTTCTTTACGCTTGTGCGATATCACCTCTAGAGTCATCTTACACTACGGCCCGAGCTAAGATCAAAATCACAACGTGGGTAGCTTAGACTTGAGATCAAAGCAGATACTTAGGTAACCAGACGCTGGAAGGGAGCTGGAAACGACGGAGCTGGAGTGAAGCCGTTAGCATCGACCGACCATCCACTTGGTACCCGGACCAAAGGATTCCGCCAGGTAGCGACGACCAGGATTCGATCCTGGACGGGCAAGTGTCACATATTGGTACCCTGACCAAGGAATTCCACCGGATAGCGACGACCACCGATCGACCGTGACACAGGCTGGTGGCAGCGACTAAGGGTCAACCCCAAAACACCGGTAGGAAAAACATTACAGTTTCGCGCCGCGACTGGGAGTTGACCACGGCCCGACAGCTCAGTGTCAAACCTGTTCAATAACAAGGTGGGTAACCGTCTGGGAATATCATGTACTTTAAGTGCGTAAAGTTGCACGCATCTTTTGGCATACGGATTATCACGTTGAGACACCGGCTTAATTACAAGCACCAAAGTCAAGCAACGTCGTGTCTGGTCATTACCTAAATGGGTGACTGCTTGGGAATACCAAGCGTTGTAAGCTTGGACTTACGCGTGTTTTGGCTTACGGAGAAATCACGTTGAAACGCCAGCTTTCGTAAGATCACTGGAGTTAAGCAACGTCGAACCTGGTAAGTAACTAAATGGGTGTCCAGTTGGAAATACGAAGTTCTGTAAACTTGGATGTGCTAGTGTTCTGCCTTACAGACACAGTACGTTGAATCAGTTCCCTTCTGCTGTAAGCTTGCGTGTGTGGACGTTTTGGCTTAGGCAATATTATGTTATCGGGTCTCGTACGATCACTGAAGTTAAGCAACGTAGAACTGGGTCAGTACCTGTATGGGTGACCGCTTGGGAATATCAGGTGCTATAACCTTGGAAGCGCGGGTAGTGAAATCGATAACGACTCGGGATTAGAACTCGGCTCTCTGAGTTCCAATTCCAGTCGGGTTCGTTATAGCCAATTACACGCAAATATCTTTGGGAAAGGTAAAGATTTAATCTCTTTTCTCCCCAGCTATGGGTTAAATAGTAGTGCTTATATCAGTAAGGATCATTGTTATCGTCCCCAAAAATCTTACAATCTGAAAATATTTGCTGGCTTTAAATAACCATCTAAAGGTTGATACACCGTAAAAACGAATCAATCATTGAATCAATCAACTATCTCTGAACAACAAATACTGTTGTTATTTAGAAAGCGTACTCTAGTTCAGGCAAAAGACCACGTAGTGAGACTCAAACGAACTACTAATTATCTACAAGTGCAGATTACAGATCACTATGCAACTATAAGGATCCCGCAAGGCTACGATTATTGTACACTCAGTGAGGATCAAGTTCTATTCACAGAAGTAATAATTCATTAGAATAAGAGGCTACCTATTAGAACGATGCCAACACACCTACTATTAAGTACTTTATAATAAAATGATAGTTCCGAATATACGGGGCTGATTTTCTTTTTTTTTTTTTTTTTACAATGATGCCCACTCTGTAGAAGGCCATAAAGCACCTTGGTGTTACAGATTAAGAGGCAGAGCTTATCGGGATATGCGGAGATGATAAAGGTTAATCCTAGACTTGAACATCCTAAGATTCTATAGATTAGGGATGTGTTATGGCCTTGTTAAGGCCAGAAATAAAGACACAAAGAGAGGAATTGTGTTAAACAAATATATTAACAGAAACAGTAATAGAAACATATAGAAACTTCTCACGAAAATTGACCCCTACAGACACCATAGATTTGGGGACTTAGATTTGGACATTGGAGATTTGGGGACAGCAATGCTGGACCTAACTGTGTGGAAAGGGAATGTCAATGGAGTTCCGATCAACCATAGGGAGGTCGAAGAATGAGGATCATGAGGAGGAGGATGATGAAGAGTTATGAAGCAATAAAAGAGAGAGAGAGAGAGAAAGAAAAAGAAGGAGATATAAAGCGATAAATAAGTGAGAGAGAAAGTAAGAGATATGATTTTGCCGGCCACTGCCACCGAGCCGACAGGGAAATCGTCTCATCCTTCCTTACTCGGATGGCATCCTTCTGGAAAATGTCTTCTCACGAAAATTGACCTACCCAGACACCATAGTACAGGACTCAGGGTTGGACATTATGAATCTGGGGACAGTAATACAGGATCGAACAGTGTGGAATGGGATTTTTCAATGGAGTCTCGACCAACCATAGGGAGGTCGAATGATGAAGATGATAAAAAGGTAACCGATCATTTTTCCGGTATCTTTATCAATCAATCTGACTGCTTCACGTATGGGTTGAGCTTCCAATTGTCAACTCAAGGCTTAGCCCTCCCTGACAAAACACCCCTTCATCGTAGTATAGGAAGTTCATGATATTCTCGGTGATGATGCAACGCCCTTAGTTTGCTTGTCGAGGCTTTGAACGTGACCAGTTAGTTTATTTGACAGAATAAAGTCTGTCTACATTTCTCATGTTATTTGCACTACCTAAAATTTTGGGACTGTTATCCTCCTCTTTGTTGCCATATTCACGACGAGATAAGTCTACAGGAACACCATAAGACTTAACACTAGGGGAAATAGAAAATTCAGACGTGGCTGACCATATATGGAGGGTAAAGGGAGACCACCGCCTTCCGGTTGAATAAGGTTGAAATAATAGACAGAGAACATCACGCGAAAATACGAAAACTTAAAGAATCAGCACATATGCCCATCGACAAAATTCCTCTGTGTCTCTGGAGAAGCTATATTTAGGATTCCAGATTCGAGCGGGCCATCTGTTTCTGTTATGTCTCTAACGGGTATATATTAATCTCAAATAGGAAAAGGGGTGTCTTCGGTTTTTCCAACATGAGAAGTAATCGGTTTGACCCCTGGAAGCTGTCTGACAGACTAGCCACTTATGTTATTCTATGAAGTGATGTCACGAAGTTACTATCGCATAATTCTCCTGACTGTATCTCAACCAAAGGGAGATAATTACCGTTTGTACCCCTACAACGGTTTTTCAGACTTTATAAAAAATATATATTTATAGACAACATCGACGGACATTTTTTATGAAAAATATTGCCAAATAGCATTACTCTGAGTAAACGCTGCCCCCGTTTCTGTCCCAGTGGCATTATCGCCTTGCTTGAAGTAAAATAGCATAGACTGGTGCATCGTCTATGTTCACTGTTAACAGTATCCATGGTAGAGGTGGACTTATGTTTACACACGAGTTATCTCGTGCCAACGACGAGTTATCTCGTGCAGACGACGAGTTATCTCGTGCCAACGACGAGTTATCTCGTGCAGACGACGAGTTATCTCGTGCCAACGACGAGTTATCTCGTGCCAACGACGAGTTATCTCGTGCAGATGACGAGTTATCTCGTGCCGACGACGAGTTATCTCGTGCCAACGACGAGTTATCTCGTGCAGACGACGAGATATTTCGTACTTGACATTTTCCGGTACATTTTGATCTGCGGGTGCCAATAACGAGTGAGAACAATGTCAAGACTTAATGCATAGTTTTCAGGAAAAGGATCAAGTTAACATGCAAATTGCAAATTAGTGACACCGAAATCCGAAGGCACGTTGAAATAGCCAAAGGTTCTCTCCAAAAACTAAGCAATGCATTAAGAAAGTGGAAAAAGTTGTTAGAAACTAAAGACAAGAGTACTGAACTGTTATGTAACGTCAGTTCTCTTACATGGCAGTAATTCTGGAAAATCATATGTCAGATGAAGGAAAGACTCATAAGCAACAGAACTGTGGCTCTACAGAAGGATGCTGAAAATACTATGGACTCAGCATGTGAGCAACGAAGAAGTTTTAAATAAAATAAAAGCAAAAAGGGGAATTCTAGTTGACTTCAGAAAGGGACAGGTGGAATTTCTCTGGCACTTAACGAGGAAGGGGAGCTTGGAAAATTTGATACTTACAGAATATACTAAAGTCAAAAGAGACAGAGGAAAACAGTGCATTACCTAGCTAAAGCATTTGCGTAAATGGTTGATAGTACAGTGATGATTAGAGGTAATGAAGAGACACAATTTACTAATGTACAGGAAAATGTGGAGAGCCACGTTTGCCAACATCCTGAAGGGACAAAGCACATAGAACAAGAAGAAGGATGATCTTTTGTAAATGGTTGACAGAACAGTAAATTTGACACATTTTCAGAATAAATTGCTCTCAGACTCACACTCACTCAATCTCAATTACTCACTCACACTCACTCACACTCAATTAGTCACTCACCCTTACTCACTCACACTCACCCTCACTCAATTACTCATTAACACCCACACTCAATTACTAACTCACACTCGCACTCAATTACTCACTCACACTCACCCTCACTCAATTACTCACACTCAGTTACTCATTCACACCCACACTCAATTACTAACTCTCACTCGCACTCAATTACTCACTCTCACTCACGCTCACTCTCACTCAATAACTCACAATCACACTCAATTACTCACACTCACTCACACACGCATTCACTCACACTCAATTACACTCACACTCAATTACACTCACACTCACACTCACTCACACTCAATTACTCACACTCACTCACACACACACTCACTCACACTCAATTACTCACACTCACACTCACTCACACTCAATTACTCACATTCACACTCACTCACACTCAATTACTCACACTCACTCACACTCAATTACTCACACTCACTCACACTCAATTACTCACACTCACTCACTCTCACTCAATAACTCACACTCACACTCAATTACTCACACTCACAGGTCATATTAAAGACAAGCTAGGGAAAGAAAACTACCGCCTAATAAAGCTAACGAGCCTGTGTAAATGGTTGGCAAAACAAGGATGAGGAGAGAAAAGAAAAGGTAAAATCTACTAAGGCTACAAAGTACAGGAAAATGTGGAGAACCATGATCGCCCACATCCTGAAGAGACACGGCATATACAAGGAGAACATTACCGTAGAGCGATTATTAATCAGCGCACATAACAGACCGATCTTCGCTGTCATACTAAATTCGACCTTTGATGGGAGCTACATATTTACAGCCATGTGCCAGGCTGATAAAAAAAAAATACGGAACCACTCCCCCTGGATTAAAAACGGATTTTATGAAGTGTAATTATCTAGTAAGAAGCAATGATTTTTTTTTAAACCGAGGCGACGTCTGCGGATCTTGCTTAAAATCGATTTCCATAGTTTCTAAATACGAATTACAACAGCCAATGAGTGACGAAATCAGTTATCAGATATTTTGGTCCAATGTACCGACTTATATTTTACTGAGTTTAAAAAGATTTTCTTTATAAATAGAAATTTATCTGTTCCTGATTACTCCAGATATTAACAATGGCGATAATGAATGAATAATGAAGATATTATTACTGTTGAAACTTGGTGACTTGCTTGTCGAAAACGAGGCTGATAGTGATATAAGAGGGTGGGCCTGAAAAGGTCTATACGCTGACTATGAAGGAGTGATGCTAGTGCTATTATATATTGTTGAATTAATTTCAACTCATTTTATTAATAACTTCATTGTTTTATTCCAGGTACGTGGATGGACTGGGAAGTTCATAGACTGATTATGAAGAGCTACTAAATCTTGCTGGATTAATTTCAACTCTTCCTATTAATAACTGCATTGTTTCTATCCAGTATATTGGTTTACTGTGTCGTGTGAGACAATTTTTTTCTGTTCAGAATTCATATAAGTCTATCATAAGTTCTGCCTATCGATCTTTTTATTAATCTTTTAAGTTCCCGAATTAGTTCCTCTTTATTTTTTCCAAATAATTTCGAATGTTGCTACATTACTTTTCAAGAGTAATTTTTGGGTATGTTTATGCAACTTCTTCCGATGTTCTTACGTTTGACGAAACCAATTTCAAGTCAATCAAGGTCACGTCATTTAAACGGCCAATCTGGATATTTCTTTATAAATACCGTCCATTATATGGTCCGCTACAGAGAAATATTTCTTATTTAAGTGTGGTCGCTTCTCTTTTATTACAACAGCCTCCAGAATTTGAAGTCTTTCTTTGCAATGTGCCCTGTATTGGTACGTAAATACACAATATATATATATATATATATATATATATATATATATATATATATATGAAAATTTCTTTTTCCTTATTTCACCTTTCTTAACAAAATTAATGCTCTTACAAACAAATATGCATAACAGATTCATAAAATCGAAAGAAAATGGTTGAATACATCAAGACAGATATAATGACAATATTCTCCACACGTGACAATCTCTGATGTTATTTTTTCATTTAAAAAATATGAAAATAGCGTTTCTCTACATACCAGTTGCTAGGTACATTCTGTTTTTGTTTTTATTAGTTACGTTGTTCATTTAATTTCATTTTCGTATTTTGCTTTGATAAAGTTCACATTGGACGAAACGCGTCAGCAATTACCAGTTTTCCTATTGTCATTTTTATTCATATATATATATATATATATATATATATATATATATATATATATGTATGCATGTGTGTGTGTGTGTGTTAGTGTTATTTTTACTTTACTCGAGCCGGAGGTTTTTTTTCTTTGGACACTGAAATTTCTTTCTAGACGATTAATATCACCGGAAGTACATGTTGTTAGTTCTTTTTTTTACTTTTTTTTCCTTGGGTATTGGTTTGTTCATTTACAAGCTAAAACACCTAAGGTTTTGCCAAACGAGTATAGCTGCTTATATTTATGAGATTATTAGTATTATATATATATATATATATATATATATATATATATATATATATATATATATATATATATATATATATATATATTTTCAATAAAGGTGCAATTAATTTAAAAATTCATGAATTATTCATACAAAAAAACAAATACAAAAGGTTAATGATTTAACTGGCGAGAAATCCATCGTCGCGAACAATTCAAATAATATACAAAAACCCCGAACCTGTTTATGAATGAAAAGATCCTTGTTTCTATAAATTTCTGTTGCATGAGTTCTTATTATTTTTACAAGCTTTCGTCTGTTCTTACAGACATCCTCAGGTATGGAATAGATTTTGTTCTTGTTTTTTCTCTCAGTAATAAGAGGACAACGAAAATCTATTCCATACCTGAGGATGTCTGATCATGAGGCGTTCCAATATTCAAATGTTTGCTTTAATTTCTGGTGAAAATAATGACAAAATTGTCCAACATTTAGATATGTTTTTATTAATTTGGTTCTAAGCTTTTGGCTCGCATGAACCATCATCAGAGTGGTTATACAGACATGAAACAAAGATATACACTGTCAGAGAGGATGTTTTGTTATTTGGATATAGGAAATTGCTATGCGACGATAACGGTCGCGGAATAACAGACGCAGATCATAAATTCAAGATGCGTTTCTTTGACATCTTTCCATTCGATAGACCGAAATACTACAACAGAACCATATGTCTAGATGCAATGTAATGTGTTGTGACTAATTGGAAAAGTAATTTTGTTGAATGTGGGTGGCTTTGTTTTAATGTAGATGGCTCCCAATATCTGTAGGTTCTTTTTTACTGTGTGTATGTGTGAGTATTGTTGTGTTATCAACTAATATCTCTCTAATATCTGTTTGTCTTTTAATATGCTCTGGTCATAGTATTTTCAGTTTTCATCAATCAAACCAAATCACTAGCACTTCCGCTTTCATTTCTTTGAGGAGATTTTCTACCATTCACTGTCATTAAGTAGCGCTTGATCAGTTTTCTTAGTTTCTGTCCAGAGTTCCCAATCTTTCAATACTTTGCTCAATTTCGGAAAGGCATATTTTACTATTCGTATGCAACTACTCAGATAATTTAATTTCCCTCTTGCTTTTGACATGCGCAAATTATAACTGACAAAATGGACCGACTCCTTTGCTGACAACTTTTTTGTGCCACGACGTAGGCGATCATGGCTCTTCATTTTCCCTTATCCCTTGTAGCTCTAACTAAGTTTTGTTACTTTGTTACTTCCTCCAGGTCATGTTCTGTCATCTACTTGCACAAGCCCGTCAGCTATGCCATACGGAGGCACGGTGGAGTAATGGATAGCGGCTTGGATTGAGGAATCGGAGAGCCGAGTTGGAATTCCAGTCGAATCCATTACATTCACTTACGTGCTAATACCCTTGGGAAAGGTGTGAATCCTCTTTCTTCTCCCTCCAGCTATGGGTACATAACATGACAGACTGGGTTCTATAGCCTTGGATGGCAACTGGTCTAGGAGAAGGAAAACTCTGAATTTAAAACCTGCTTTTAGATGAGGGTGAATGGAGTCTCTCTGAGCCTTGGTTGGCAATCCATTTAGTGATGGTGTCACGATAAAAACACCCTTGATAGCCCTAGCGAAACATCAAGAATTCAGCTATTGACAAGATCATTAACTACACCAATCAAAGTATTAGTGAGTTTAATTTCGGCTGAGGCCGCAAGATGAAGATGATGCCATGCGTTGCTTTCCCTTTTCCCTCTATCTTTCTATTCGACTTGATTCTCCAGGCCCACCTTACTTATTACGTGTTCCAGAAATGATGTTGAGTATAAGGTTCCTCCTTCAGTATCTGTCAATATTTCTGAGATGAGTCATTAGGTACATTATTTACATTATTCGAACTATTGTCCGCATCTTTGTCGCCATATTTATTACAAAGTTTCGGCCTTCTTCAGATAGTTGGAATGTCGAACTTAACCCTTTATTTCGCTCACTGGGGTAAACTGTTCTAGTTCCACGTGCCATGTCTAATCGATGTCAGTTACCTCCTGTTAATTTCCCTCTGAAAGTTCTCCACTACCTTAACCGGGTATTGAACTCACACTCTTTGGGTCTTGTCATTGGATCTAACTAACGCCTTTATCCACTGTGCCATGTGTTCAGTTCGACATTCTAACCATCTGAAGAAGACCGGGGCGTACAACGGCCGAAACGTTGTGATAAATATGACGACAAAGTTTAGGACAATAGTCCGAATAATGTAAATAAGGTTCCTCTTTGTTTGCATCCTGTCCAGAACCTCATCGGCCCATGATAACTTCAGGATCCTTCTTTTGAAGCATTTTCCCGTTATCTCGATTTCTTTCATCTTTGAGGAGACTGTCCATCATTCGCTGCGGTAAAGGAGGACAAATGTCACGTAGATTCAATCTATTTTCTTACGGTTAATAGTTAGTCCTTCACTCTTGTTTTTCTTTACTAGCCGGATTCTGTTCAGTTTTCTCTCTAAGCGTGCCACAAAACCAATTATTCCTAGGGAGGACGATAAACTACATCCGTCAGTAAGGCCTCTAATCGGGATATTGGAGGTTATGCGGAGCATGAAACCATTTCTTGCATTTGTTCCTAGATTCAATATAACCCGGGGGGGGGTAGTGAACCTCCTAAACAAAAATGAAACACTATGAAAGTATAAAAATACATTTTTATAGTACAAATACCAGCAATACATGTTTATATACAAAAAATACCAATAACATGTACAGATAGTATAATTACTAATGCTAAAGGTTATCTCTAGTTGAAGGCATACATCTTATTATGTTGTTAAAATATTCAGATTTCGGCATTAAATACCGTAATTCCCCATGAATAATACGCAATTTTTCTAAAAATAATAAGTAAAATTAATGGTGCGTATTATGCACAGCTACAAATAGGTCGATTTCAGTTACCAAATGATTACTCACCACAAATATAAAACAATTTGACACTACTATTCTGCGATTGTGACACCATAAGGATGTCAAATACAATCATATGTACATAAGAATACTTGCAAATGTAAAATAAAATAAGAATTATCATAAAACTAAATTAGAATATTATTCTATGTTTAAAATAATTTTTGTAAAAAACTGCATACAGAACCGGTAAATTTCACATTTTATTGAACAAAAACAGATTAATGAGTCTGCGCAGTAGACACAATATAGGTATTTCCGTTTCCTTTAAGAATCGGAGATTTTGATAAATATCTTCACTTACAGCTGAATAAGAGTAGGAAACGCTGTCTGTAAAGAAATTGGAGAGGGGAAAATTTATAGTGTTTGATTACCAAACAAGGAGTGCGTATTATGCGTGAGTAGAAGCATTTTCTTACATTTTCAGCACAATTTTAGGTGTGCGTATTATGGATGAAAGCCTATTATATATGGGGAATTACGGTAACCGATAGATGTTGATATGCCACTAAAGAAAATCAACCAAATAAAATCAGTCGTCGCCACTCATTTCTGTGGATGGTTTTATTCTTTGTCGGACTATGATGACAAGCGTTTCTCTAAGTTTGTCTTACTGGTAATTATAGGAATAAAAAAAAACTTTGTAAGGGAAGTTATTAATTTTTAAGTACAGAACTGGTACATTGGGGGGGGGTCTCTGAGTCAACACAGGGGAAATTCAGTAAACTGAGTGTTTGGGTTAACAATCTCATATCGAAAAGAACAAATCAGAATGTTTATCCACAGCGGCAAGTATTCTTTCGAAACAGAGAAATACACCATTTCTTAAATATATCATAATAGCTTATGAATGTGCTTAATGTCATACCACTGTGAAACGCTGCTTCTTGACTTATCAGCATAGTTAACTAACGTTCATGCTGGTCAGTACTTAGCTGGGTGACTACTGGTGAATATATAAGGTGTTGGGCCCACCGCAACAGGTCTCGCCAGCTGGGTACAACCTCGTTATTTATACTAACGAAAGATCTTGATATTGGAGGTGCTTATTGACTGATGAACTATCTGGATTTTGGTGGATAAGTGAGTGAGTGTGTTTATTTACTTTAGTCTCCCCACAAGGCAGGATGTGTCACAAGGTCGTTTTTTACATTAGGCGAAACCCGAACACAGACAAAACTTTGTCTACCTCCCCAGACGTGACTCTACCCTTCGACATGGACTCGTCCTGTCTTCTCTGACCGAAAGCAGAGAGTTCGACAAGTCAGACCGAACCGTCTGGTACAGCATATCTGAACCAGGTTAGGGCACCTCGACGTGGTGTAATGGTTAGAAATCTTGTCTTGTGTTGCAAAGGAGTCAAATTCAATATGGAGTGTAAGGGACGCAACTCTTTCCGTAGGAAAATGTCTGGCACAACGCAAACCAATGTAAACCGAACACGGGTGTAAATGGCTTCTGCCATTTTCTTCAAGCGACCTGCTTTTATGGAGCCCAGACACACCTCATTAGCATGCGTGTAACGCGACCTTGCGAGACTGCACGAGACCGTGAATATTAAAAAGTCACGGACGCCATCTTGGACCCTTTCTTTCTTTTTTCAACCCACAGGCCAGACATCTTGTTAGATCAATTACGACTGAGTAGTGAGTTCGATCCTCACTGGGTACCCCATACTTTCGGCCTTGTGCCACATCTAAGCCGGGCTTAGAAAATCACTATCTGAACCAGGTTATTTACCTTAGATTCTTCACAAGGCAGGATGTGGCAAAAGGCCATTTTTTACGGGTTTTTTTTCGAGATCGTAGGATTGGGAAATTTTTTCTCGTAGACCCCGTTTACACGGAGTCGGGCTTGTCTACCTCCCCAAACGTAATTCTGCTCTTCGGCATAGCCTCATCTAGATACCTCTCAGCCCAATGGCAGAGACTTCGGCAAGTCAGCCTATTCCGCCTGAAAGGGCATATCTGGACAGAGTGAGTGACTGAGCCAGTGAGGTGATGTAAAATATGTTATATATGATATTATTCAACGTAAAGGGGCAGTCAATGATAAATCTTTATAAGTGATTCCCTGAAGCTGGCTTACATTGAAGAAAAATAATTCTGTCATCATCATGTGATAATGATCACCTGGCTATTATTCATTTAAAATTCTTGAAATGTAATGTGACGCTAAACGCACATTTATAAGTCCAGAGGCTGCTATATGTCAACAAGGGTTTTGTTGCAACGCTTCCTGAGCTTGTCAACAGGAAAGATGTTTTTTTCTATGACAACACAAAATATTTTGAGGAGAAAATCTCTCTCTAAATGCAAGCAGATTCAAGTGTTCGCCGAAAAGGTTCAGCTCTCAAAATATGGAGTATTTTATCTAACATTTGGTTCTGATAAGTGGCAACATGATAAATAAAGGTCAATATATTCATGAATAAAATATAATTGTGCTTTACTTTCTAAAGAATAATGTTAATAAAAAACGGAAATTAATTCTGACTCAAACTAATTGGTTTCTGTTCAAGATATTAATTTAGCGTATATTGAGGCTTCGTTATGCAATAACCAGATTATTTTCTATTTGTCAATTGCGAATTTTCTCTGTGGCCTGATTAGTTCATTGCGTTTTCAAAATGAGTGATATTTTATATCTCCTTAATTACATAATAATATTATAATCTTTATATTTACCTGTCATCACTGATTGTAAAACATCTATGAGAATTCAATCAGTGTATGTTTTATTTGGTCTTGAGTTCTTGTCATGGAATTCAAATATTCTTTGAGTTGTCGACCCTCTCAGTATGAAGAAATGATACCAATGCCTCCGTGGCATTTAAAAATTTCATTACGGTTTTTGAACCTCATGTATATAGCTCTAACAGTCAAGCTAATCCAATTTATTCAAAGGCAGATACGGAAATAGAAACGCGCTAAACAGTGTTTTCACATTTTGAAGAAAAAAAAAGACTATTTTAAACGTGAATGTGTAAAATCGACACGTTCATTTGTTTAGCAATGAAAACTTCTACAAAGTCTGTCGGATGCTTTGATAAATTTAGCTAATTATAAACTAATGTAGCGTTTTGAAGTTTTCTTTTTTTTTTAAATTATAATTGAATATTGTCCGAAGCTCTGGTGAAACCTTAGCGAGGCCTCCGCGGTGTCCTGTGTGAATTTAGAAAAACAATACGAAATGGCGTCTTTCGTATGGGGATGTCGAATACCGACTCAAAGAAAACCTAAAAATCACTCATCGACATTTTGATGAAGACTTAAACAGAAATTGAAATTTAATTCATTTTTATTATTATCATTTTAGAAATTTGTCATTTATCTGTTTGTTTCATCGGAAATTTGCCAGTCCTTTTTTTTTTCTCTTCCTTAACTTCTTTGGAATCGTCTTTTTTTATTTCTTCGCGAAGCTCTGCGTGAATTCTTTTTTTTTTTGCCTCTTCTGTATCGCACCATTCGTTACATTATAATTTTGATTAACTGCATTTTCTTCATTGAACGTTTATTAATACAAACTTCTTTACCTTTCTACGCTTTAACATTGTTTTCAAAAAATGATTCTATCTCCTTTTTTTTCTGTCTTATCTGTTTTCCTGTTTTGGTTTTATTTTCCAGTTTTTTGTCGTTATTCCTTGTTTACTTAAACTTTCTCTTATCTTCTGATAGTCTTGTTTCTTTTCCCACTTTTTATTTTTTTCTAATCTTCTTTCAAGACTTTGTCTTCATTTTTTATTCTTCTTCTTATTTCGTCTTATCTGCTTTTATACACTTTTTCTCTCCTTTCATTCTGCTCGTTGTTTTTTCATTCTTGCTTTCTTATATCAAATTATTTCTTCTTCTTCTTCTTGTCTGTTTTCTTTCCCCCACCTTTTCTTCTTTCTCTCTTCCACGTTTCTTTAATTCTTTTCGTTTTTTCTTCTTGTTTTCTTATATCAAATTATTTCTCACCTTTTTCCCGCTTTTCCTCCTCCTTCTTCTTCTTCTTCTTCTTCTTCTTCTTCTTCCCCCATGTCTTAATACTAATAAAACATTTATATATGTTCATTCTAAGTCTCGTCTTTTTTTTATTCATTCTATTTTAATCATTTCACAGCAAGTAAGACAATAAATCCACTAAGACGCAACGATTTAATGAGAGAGATGACAACTGATGATGAATTTTAATTTCTGAAAGTTGGAGGAACAGAAAGAAAGCTGGAGGGGCACTCACAGATGATTGTAAAAGAAAGTGAGAAGAAAAGACTAAGCATCAGCTGTAAGAATGTTTGATTGCCAAAATCCCCCCCCAAAAAAAGGATGAGCCCAAGATGGAGACACGTGTGAAAATTTAAATATGTAGGACGTATTTTAACGGACAACGGAAAATATGACAACAAAATGGATTAAAACTGCAAAAGATGCCTTCGCAAAGCTAAGCAAAATATTACGGAACCTAAATACTTTATTAGAAAAAAGAAAATAGGACAGGATTATGTTTTCTCGGTTATCCGCCATGACAGTGAATACTGGACGTTCTCCTCACAGAAGAACAATATATTTGAAGCAAGAGAAATTAGATAGTACAGAAGGATTCTGATAATACTATGGACTAAAAATTCGAGTAACAACGAAGTTTTAAGGAAAATTGAAACAAAAACGGCACATCACGAGGAAAGAGTTAACATTCTTTAATTCAAATAATGAGGAAGGAAGACTAGGAGAGTCTGACACTCATAGGATATATTGAAGGCAAGAAAGACAAAGGTAACCAGCAAATAACCTATTTGTGAACTTCTATAAATGTTTGCTAGAACAGGAATTAGAAGAGATAAAAAAGAGCTGTAAAGGATATAAAATTGTGGAGATCTATGTTCATCCATATTATCAAAGGACACTGCAAGAAGATAACGAGTTTTTGTAAACAGCTGGTAGATCAGGGATTAGGAGAAATAACAAAAGACAAAACTTCAAGCTATAAAAGACATGAAATTCGGGAGAGCTATGAAACTCTCCTATCTTGAAGGAGTCTCAAGCACATAGAAGAAGAAGGAGTTTATGTAAATGGTGATAGAACAAGGAATAGGAGAGATCACAAACAGATAAAAGATCAAAATAAGTGAGGAAAATGTGGAGTGCTAAGATTGTCCACGCCTGAAGTACACAGCACATAGTAGAAGAAGAGGAATCGGAAGAAGAAGAAGAAGAAGAAGAACAAAGAGGAGCAGTATTTTCGTTTTGGGGGCTTTAAAATTAACAAGCCATTCCTTGTCCCAGTTAACAACCGACTATAGATAATTTTTTACATTAGCTACCAATTTGATGAAGAATAGACGTGAAGCAAAGAAATGTCATTCTACAACAGGATGCTGAGAATACCGTTGACTGAGCTTGTGTGCAGCGATAAAGAGAGATAAAAAAATCCTTAGAGTTAGAAAGGAAGTTGTGTAAACAATGACTGACCACATCCGGACTAGACACAGTTGAAATAGAAATCTCGAAAATGTGGCATATAGGAACATCAACAATCCCTGTTGTAGTTGGAGCCCTAGGACTGGTTGGAAAAGATTGCAGTAAATTGAAGGGATTCCTGGAAGTCAATGCCTCAAGGAGATACAAAAAATTGTTCTGACAAGTACAGCCCACGCTTTACGAAGGGCTTTATCTATGTAATTTTTTTTTGTCAGTGGAAAGTGTCATGATGCCATTTCTAACCTTAGGTCCCTGGGCGGCACCCGGAAAGAAATGTGTAAACGCCAGAAATCAAAGATAATAATAATAATAATAATAAGAAGAAGAATGAAGAAAAAGAAGAAATAAATAAGAATGATGAAGAAGAAGAAGCAAAGAAGAATTAAAAAAAGTAAAAGCAGAATAAGGAAGAAGAAGAAGAAGAAGAAAGAAAAAGAAAGAAGACCCTGAATTGTTCATTTGTGAATATCTATGCCGATGATACGACGATATACGGGTAGACCTCTAAAACTGGAGATGACAAAATATTAGCAGCTGATCACCTATCCGGGTCTAGCTGGTGATGACAGGAGATTGGCAGCTGATCTCCTAACCAGTCTAGCTGGTGATGGCAGGAGATTGGCAGCTGATCTCACATCAGTGTCAAGCTGGTGACGACAGGTGATTGGCAGCTGATCTCCTATCCAGTCTAGCTGGTGACGACAGGTGATTGGCAGCTGATCTCCTATCCAGTCGAGCTGGTGATGACAGGAGATTGGCAGCTGATCTCCTATCCGGTCAAGCTGGTGATGACAGGAGGCTGGCAGCTGATCTCCTATCCGGTCTAGTTGATGATGACAAGAGATTGGCAGCTGATCTCCTATCCGGTCGAGCAGGTGATGAAAGGAGATTGGCAGCTGATATCCTATCCGGTCTAGCTGGTGATGACTGGAGATTGGCAGCTGATCTCCCATCCGGGTCTAGCTCGTGATGACAGGTGATTGGCAGCTGATCTTCTACCCGGTCTACTTGGTAATGACACGAGATTGGCAGCTGATCTCCCATCCGGGTCTATCTGGTGATGACAGGAGATTGGCAGCTGATCTCCCATCGGGTCTAGCTAGTATTGACAGGAAAGCGGTCAAGCTGGTGATGACCGGAGATTGGCAGCTGGTCTCCCATCCGGTTCTAGCTGGTGACGACAGGAGATTGGCAGCTGATCTTCTATCCGGTCTCGCTGGTGATGACAGGAAATTGGCAGCTGGTCCCCTATCCTTGTCTAGCTGGTGATGACAGGAGATTGGCAGCTGATCTTCTATCCGGTCTAGCTGGTGATGACAGGAGATTGGCAGCTGATCTCCTATCCAGTCTAGCTGGAGATGACAGGAGATTGGCAGCTGATCTTCTATCCGGTCGAGCTCGTGATAACAGGAGTTTGGCAGCTGATCTCCGATCCAGTCTCGCTGGTGATGACAGGAGATTGGCAGCCCACCTCCCATCCGGATTCAGCTGGTGATGACATGAGATTGGCAGATGATCTCCAATCCGGGTCTAGCTGGTGATGACAGGAGATTGGCAGCTGATCTTCTATCCGGTCTAGCTGGTGATGACTGGAGATTGGCAGCTGATCTCCCATCCGGGTCTAGCTCATGATGACAGGAGATTGGCAGCTGATCTCCCATCTGCTCTAGCTGGTGATGACAGGTGATTGGCAGCTGATCTCCCATCCGCTCTAGCTGGTGATGACAGGAGATTGGCAGCCGATCTCCCATCCGGAGTCAGCTGGTGATGACAGGAGATTGGCAGCTGATCTCCCATCGGGTCTAGCTAGTATTGACAGGAATGCGGTCAAGCTGGTGATGACCGGAGATTGGCAGCTGGTCTCCCATCTGGTTCTAGCTGGTGACGACAGGAAATTGGCAGCTGATCCCCTATCCTTGTCTAGCTGGTGATGACAGGAGATTGGCAGCTGATCTTCTATCCGGTCTAGCTGGTGATGCCAGGAGATTGGCAGCTGATCTCCTATCCAGTCTAGCTGGAGATGACAGGAGATTGGCAGCTGATCTTCTATCCGGTCGAGCTCGTGATAACAAAAGTTTGGCAGCTGATCTCCTATCCAGTCTCGCTGGTGACGACAGGAGATTGGCAGCCGATCTCCCATCCGGATTCAGCTGGTGATGACATGAGATTGGCAGCTGATCTCCCATCCGGGTCTAGTTGATGATGACAAGAGATTGGCAGCTGATCTCCCATCCGGGTCTAGTTGATGATGACAAGAGATTGGCAGCTGATCTCCCATAGGGTCTAGCTGGTGATGACAGGAGATTGGCAGCTGATCTCCTATCCAGTCTAGCTGGTGATGACTGCAGATTGACAGCTGATCTCCCACCTGCTCTAACTGGTGATGACAGTTGATTGGCAGCTGATCATCCACCCGCTCTAGCTGGTGATGACAGGAGATTGGCAGCTGATCTCCTATCCAGTCTACCTGGTGATGACAAGAGATTGGCAGCTGATCTCCTATCCGGTCTAGCTGGTGACGACAGGAGATTGGCAGCTGATCTCCTATCTGGTCAAGCTTGTGATGACAGGAGATTGGCAGCTGATCTCCCATCCGGGTCTAGCTGGTGATGACAGGAGATTGGCAGCTGATCTTCTATCCGGTCTACCTGGTGATGACAGGAGATTGGCAGCTGATCTTTTATCCGGTCTAGCTGGTGATGACAGGAGATTGGCAGCTGATCTCCCATCTGCTCTATCTGGTGATGACAGGTGATTGGCAGCTGATCTTTTATCCGGTCTAGCTGGTGATGACAGGAGATTGGCAGCTGATCTCCCATCCGGGTCTAGCTCGTGATGACAGGAGATTGGCATCTGATCTCCCATCTGCTCTAGCTGGTGATGACAGGTGATTGGCAGCTGATCTCCCATCCGGGTCTAGCTGGTGATGACAGTAGATTGGCAGCTGATCTCCCATCCGGGTCTAGCTGGTGATGACAGGAGATTGGCAGCTGATCTTCTATCCGGTCTACCTGGTGATGACAGGAGATTGGCAGCTGATCTTCTATCCGGTCTACCTGGTGATGACAGGAGATTGGCAGCTGATCTTTTATCCGGTCTAGCTGGTGATGACAGGAGATTGGCAGCTGATCTCCCATCCGGGTCTAGCTCGTGATGACAGGAGATTGGCAGCTGATCTCCCATCCGGGTCTAGCTGGTGATGACAGGAGATTGGCAGCTGATCTCCCATCCGGGTCTAGTTGATGATGACAAGAGATTGGCAGCTGATCTCCCATGGGGTCTAGCTGGTGATGACAGCAGATTGGCAGCTGATCTCCCACCCGGTCTACCAAGGGTTGCGTATTATGCATGAGTAGAAGCATTTTCTCACATTTTCAGCACAAATTTGTGGGTGCGTATTATGGATGAAGGCGTATTATCCATGGTTAATTACGATAGTTACATTTCACCATCGCCGATCGTATCCCGAACTACCACCAATCACGGTGAAGGAATGTCTCAAACCCACTTGCCGAGATTATTGGACCTGATCTTAAGTGGAATACTACTTATAGCCCATCGCTAAAGAGACAAATAGTCGGTTCAAGAATCTGATTTCTCCTGGTATCCGCTACATATTGCCAGAGCCAGATCATTCCTAAATTGCAGTACTGTTGCCATATTCAAATGGGAACTACCTAGGCCGTCTAGGTAGAGTCAAAAAGCACCGAAGAGACTTTGGAGGAGGCAAATATTTTTTCACTTCACATGAGGTATGTGGCAGACCTCTCACTCTGATCGAGAAACTGGAGGTTTTGCGGAGGGTGGAACCACCTCTAAATTACACTTATTTCCAGCTCCACACTGACCCAGTGTGTCAGAACCTGTTAGGGTCCCAGTAATGTGCAAATATTGAAGACTCAATCTAAAAACTATAAAAGTATAAAAATATAGTTTTATTGGCTTAAATATAAAAATTTATTTTATACTTTATTTTTATACTTGTATACGAGCAATACATTTTGAATAAAAAATTAACAACTGTATATATTTATAGTAAAATGACAAATAATACATTTTATAGAAAAATGGCCAACAATACATTTTATCTGTAGTTAAAGCCATAAAAATTTTTTTAAAATATTTAAATTTCGGCATTAAATATAACATAAAGGTTGATATGCAGCTAAACAGAATCAATCAACCAACACTACATATTTATAGTAAAATGACCAACAATACATTTTATAGAAAAATGACCCACAACATACTTTACCTTTTGGTGAAGCCATAAAATTGTATTCAACATATTTAGATTTCGGTATTAAATAAAACATATAGGTTGATATGCAGCTAAATAGAATCAATCAACCAACACTACGTATTTATAGTAAAATGACCAACAATACATTTTATAGAAAAATGACCCACAACATACTTTACCTTTTGGTGAAGCCATAAAGTTGTATTCAAAATATTTAGATTTCGGTATTAAATAAAAAATATAGGTTGATATGCAGCTAAACAGAATCAATCAACCAACACTACATATTTATAGTAAAATGACTAACAATACAGTTTATAGAAAAATGACTCACAACATACTTTACCTTTTGGTGAAGCCATAAAATTGTATTCAAAATATTTAGATTTCGGTATTAAATAAAACATATAGGTTGATATGTAGCTAAACAGAATCAATCAACCAACACTACATATTTATAGTAAAATGACCAACAATACATTTTTTAGAAAAATGACTCACAACATACTTTACCTTTTGGTGAAGCCATAAAATTGCATTCAAAATATTTAGATTTCGGCATTAAATAAAACATAAAGGTTGATATGCAGCTAAACAGAATCAATCAACCAACACTACATATTTATAGTAAAATGACCAACAATGCATTTTATAGAAAAATGACCCACAATACATTTTATCTGTAGTTAAAGCCATAAAATTGTTTTTAAAATATTTAGATTTCGGCATTAAATAAAACATAAAGGTTGATATGCAGCTAAACAGAATCAATCAACCAACAATACGTATTTATAGTAAAATGACCAACAATGCATTTTATAGAAAAATGACCCACAATATATTTTATCTGTAGTTGAAAGCATGCCAATGCGTTCAAAATATATTTATTTGAAACCATAAAATTGTGTTCAAATATCTATCTATCTATGTATGTTTTCCTATCTAACCATCTATCTATCACAGTCTGTTCTAATCTATTTCTCTATCTAAGTTTCTACTTATCTATCTATCCATTTATTTATCTATAAATCTTTTTCTATCTACGTATCTGTCTATCTATCACATTCTGTTCTTATCTATCTAGTTTTTTTTCCTTTTCTATCTATTTACCACTGTCTTTTCCTATTCATGTATCTATCTATCAATCTATCTATCAATCTATCAATGTATATTTGATTTTTCCCTGATTTATCTATTTATCAAAATCTTTTACTATTTATCTCTATTTCTATCTATAATCAATGTTTCCTATCTATCTATCTATCTATCTATCTATGTCTGTTCCTATCTATCTATCTATCTATCTATCTATCTATCTATCTATCTATCTATCTATCTATGTCTGTTCCTATCTATCTATCTATCTATAAATCTTTTCCTATCTACCAATCTATCTGTCCATCACAGTCTGTTCTTATCTATCTATCTATCTATCTATCTATCTATATTTGATTTCTCCCTGATCTATCTATTTATCAAAATCTTTTATAATTTATCTCGTGATCTATCTAGAATCAATATTTCCTATCTATCTAACCATCTATCAATCACCGCCTGTTCTTATCTATCTACATATATATATATATATATATATATATATATATATATATATATATATATATAAATCTTTTCCTATCTACCCATCTATTTATCTATCACGGTCTGTTCTTTATCTATCTATCTATCTATATTGAATTTTTCCTTATGTGTCTATTTATCAGAATCTTTCTCTATCTATCTATCTATCTATTGATAAATCTTTTCTTATCTATCTATTTCTAATATTTTGCCTCATTTTTTTTTTCTCTCTTTTCCACATTGCTACGAAATTAGAGATGAGAGAAGCCAAAATAAGTGAAGGAAATGATCGTCTCGTTACCACAGCGTCTTCTTTATTTGAGATATGAAAGGAATGCGATTCCATGTCTCGTGCCATAACTTCAATGCCGTTTTCTTCGCACTGAAAACACGAAGTTAAAAATAAAAGATAAAGAAACAATAGATTTCTTAAAAATCACAATGCCAAGTAACTTTACACCAAGAGCAAAATTTCTCTCGACCGGTGATAACGTCTAAGGATATCTTGTCTCTATTCATGACATCAATTGGCATTGTGTTAAAACACATTTTCCTGCATCGACATTCAAAGACGTCTTGTGTCGAATTGGAAACTGTTTTTCTCAATAAAGTATGTCAATGAAGAACATATCCATTTTTCGCTCCAAATAATATGTTAAAATCTGTGTCCACGCCCGGCATTCTATCATCGCACAGAGAATCAGTGATATACTCACTACCCATGCACATGTACTAGCACTCAACCGGTCGGTGGACCCGGTTCCGTCAATCGAACCCGCCCCATCCGTACAGAAGCTGAAAAACGTAGCAGGTGTCTTATTCATTCAGGCGCCAGTCTGTTTCATGCTAGATGCAATCGTCATGTGGCATGGGTAGTGAGTGTTGACTTCTATGTTCACTTTTATGTTTACACACGCTCTATCTCTGATATTGTCACTTTATTCCATAAATACATCACATCCTAAGACTATATATATATATATATATATATATATATATATATATATATATATATATATTAATTCAAATTTATATCAAGCATTATAATCTTTATGAGCACCCAAAAAAACACTTTCAAAGTAACACAAAATAACAGCGTCTGTTTCTAGCCTTTTTTTCACAAAGAAAATTAGTGACACCTTCTCTCATAACTTCCTTCTCTCTTTTTCTCTCTATGTGTTTTTTCTTCTCTACCCCTTCGATATCAATATATAAATTATTTTAAGTTAGCCGTTTAAATGTGTCAATATCTGCTAAACCATTCATGTCTTCTCTCTCCCCACTCACTTCCTCACTTCGTTTATTTACATATGTTTAATACGGCCCGTCAAAAATGTGTAAATTTTATTTTCATTTTTTGTTTGGAAGTAAAGTCTGATGATCCGCAGTCCTTTAAAAAGGCCGTGATGAAATAATTTATTACATGGAACCTTGAAGTGGTCTGTTTTTATTTAAATTATTTGCTCTGGATTTACATTAAACTCTCTGGATTTTATCCTCCTTAGATTTAGCCATACGGATTACCTAGTTTTTCATAAATTATATATATATATATACGACAGTTCTCATATATATATAAATATATATATATATATATATATATATATATACTTATATTTATATATATATATGTTTGTATATATATATATATATATATATATGTGTGTGTGTGTATATATATAAATATATAATTATATATATGTGTGTGTGCTTTTATACATGTATATATACATAAATATATATATATATACTTATATTTATATATGTATATGCTCTTGTATATAGATATATGTGTGTGTATAAATATATATACATACATATATGTGTGCTTTTATACATGTATATATATATATATATGTATACGACAGTTCTCATATATATATATATATATTTATATATATATATATATATACGACAGTTCACATATATATATATAAATATATATATATACTTATATTTATATATGTATATGCTTTGTATATATATATATATATATATATATATATATATATATATATATATATATATATGTATGTGTGTTTGTGCGCAAATATATAGAAAAATATGAAAAGAACCGTTAAATTAATAATCCGAATTTCTTTAGTACTTTTGTTTTTATTTTTTAAAATTGTGCTCGATACAGAAGTAGAGCCTAGATTATTAATTATATATATATATATATATATATATATATATATATATATATATATATGATAACTGTCGCTTTTTTAAAAAACAAAAAGATAAACAGAGGGTGTTTAAAATTCTCGACCCAACTCGTTTCCAAAAATCTTTCTTTCAAGAGATTTATAAATATATAGGAATACACTGAGATACATAGATAGATAGATGAACAGGCCTATATATATATATATATATATATATATATATATATTTACAGAAATAAAGAGAAAGAAAAATCTGATTAACAAGCACTTTTTTTTTCATTTTGAAAAAGTGCTCGAAAACAACGTAGAAGACTTAAGAAGGAGAGGAGAAACAATATTTTAAAATTTTATGAGAATTTAGCGTTTGACCAATGAAAAGAGGGTCAACGGTAAAGCAGAAAAGTGAAAAAATATAGGCTGGATGTTACAAATTCGAGGAGTTGAATAAATATTATAAGTACCATTTGATATAATAAAATAATGGATATATAATTGTAATATATAGACTTTTTAAGATATATTCCATTAACTATATTTTAAACTAAATATTGTACAACTTACAGTACAACTTAAATATATATATATAAAAAAACAGTAACAGCACCAAGAAAGTAATCGGTCGTTCATTTTCTTAGATAGATAGATAGAAACAGCTTTACATACATAGATAGATAGATAAATAGATAGAAAGATAGATAGAAACAGCTTTACATACATAAATAGATAGATAGATAGAAACTGCTTTACATACATAGAGAGAAAGATAAATAGATAGATAGATAGAGACAGCTTTACATACATAGATAGATAGATAGAAACAGCTTTAAATACATAAATAGATAGAACGATAGATAGAAACAGCTTTACATAGATAGATAGAAAGATAGAAACAGCTTTACATAGAGAGATAGATAGATAGATAGAAACAGATTTACATAGATAGATAGATAGATAATAGAAACAGCTTTACAGAGATAGATAGATAGATAGAAACAGCTTTACAAAGAGAGATAGATAGATAGATAGATAGATAGAAACAGCTTTAGATAGATATATAGAAAGATAGAAACTGCTTTAGAGATATATATATATATATATATATATATATATATAGATAGATAGATAGATAGAAACTGCTTTAGACAGATTGATTGATAGATAGATAGATAGATAGATAGAAACTCTAGCTTTAGATAGAGAGATAGAAACAGCTTTACATACACAGATAGATAGATAGATAGATAGAAACAGCTTTACATAGATAGATAGATAGATAGAAACAGCTTTACATACATAGATAGGTAGATATATAGAAACATCTTTAGATAGATAGATAGATAGAGAGAAACAGCTTTACATAGATAGATAGATAGATAGATAGATACGAATGTTTGTCGAAAATTTCTCAATTCAACCCATTTCCCAAAACCCTTTCTTTTATTCATTCTTTCTATAGATATAATCACTGTCCATTATTTACTGAAAAGTGTTATTTCTTCTGTTCGCAGATGTCTATGTAATCCGGCCTCGCTTTTGCATACCTTCTTTCAAATGTAACACACGAAATGCTTATGGCGAGACTTTCTCCTCGCACACTGCTTGATCCCGGCGGCAGACCGGCACATCTAATCAGAAAAATTGAAATAAGCGCCCTGCATTCCTGTCAGGAAGTATATCCACATCGACTGCTTTACACTGCCGATTTTTCTGAAAGCTTAGAAGACAAGCCATGCCCGGTACGAGATACGTCCAATTTCACTTCACATTAACATTCAACACTTTTGACCTCAAAGCAATTGTAACTATGAACAACTTTATCCAAACAGACGAATTCTAAGCCACTTTTTTTGTCAAGAGTTTTCACGTTGTCTTTAAGAATATCATTGAAAAGATTATTGGGTTAGTGTCCGGGGCGCTTAAAAATCTCAAATCTGCTATCTTACCGATATCCTCTGCCCAGCGAAGTTTATTTTTAGGGAATAGTTTCTCTATGCTGAGTTTTCTGATGTTTTGAACAACTTGTTCGAGTGCAAAAGATTGCCACTTAATGTTAAATCATTTTAATCACTCTCTCTTTCTCTCTCTATCTGCATATATATATATATATATATATATATATATATATATATAATATTAGTGGTAAATATACACATACATATGCAAAATATATAAATATATATACATAGGTGCATACATATACATGTATATTTTTTGAATAAAAAATTCGAGAGGATAGAATCCAGGTAGAACTCAATGTCCAGGACAGAGTAAGGATATAATAAAAAGCCTTAAACACTAATGCATGACCATGGAATATTAGTGTTTAAGCCTTTTTAAACTCTTTATTCTACGTGCAACACCATCACTTGATAAGACACCAGAAGTGTTGAAACAAAATGCCTATATTTGTAGTGATTTTGTAAGATAATTTCCGAAAAAATTATATTTGCTTTACTTTGTATTGAGCACTCTTTCAAGACTGGTATTTTTGTTTATTGGAATTTATTCCGTACACCAATCTAAAAAAAAACTCGGATATCACAACTTCTAAGTCTATCAGAACAAATTATTCCCAGAGGAAAACTAGAAACATCCGACAAGATGAAATAATATATATATATATATATATATATATATATATATAAATGACAATAGGAAAACTGCAGTAGTTGCTGACGCGTTTCATCCAATGACCGCATTGGACGAATCCCGTCGGCAACAATTATTGTTTTCCTATTGTCATTTGTATTTATAAATATTGTCTTTCTACAGGTTAACTCTGAGAATTTTTCATATATATATATATATATATATATATATATATATATATATTTAGCTGCATTGATGTGAGATTGTGACCACGGGTTTCACGCTTTTGCGATCGTCAGACAAACTGGTTGATTTTTTAAAAACAATTTTTCCTCTCACTTCCATAAAAACACCAATACACGCAACCCTAAACCCTAAATATGTTAGCTCAATCTTTGATATTGAGCGCCTTCTAATAAGTAAAACGCATATAATATATAAATAATATATATAATCGTTTGCACGCACACACACATATATATATATATATATATATATATATATATATATATATATATATATATATGCAACATACACACACTAGAAATATATACTTATACTGGTCCTAACGGGGTTGAGGAAAGGATTAAAAAAAAAACAGAGTTGGATGAGTAAAAGATTGCGGATTGAGTCAACATGAGATGTCGATTGACATTACATTTTTTTTATTTTCTGAAGATTATAGTTATCAGAGAAGCTAGTTCCACTGCCGGGGAGTGCGAGAGAAGAAGCTGTTGAAGTAGAATAGGTGGTTTTATTTAACTGTTTCGTCAGCAAAAGGGTGGGACCGACATGTCAACCTAGTAGCACGCTTAGATTCATTTAGTCGTGGCATCAGTAAAAATAACTCGTCAGAGCAGATTCCATGAAAATATCTTTAAAAATGACAGAGTGGAGCTACATTACGTTGGTGAGAAAGTGACCGTTAGCCGAGCCGATTCTAGTTGGAACCTTTGCATTCACTTACTGCTATTACCCTTGGGAAGGTATGAATCCGCGTCTCCTCCTCACAGCTATGGGTATGGTAGCAGGGCAGAATTGAATGGCAACCAATCTAGGGGAAGGAAACTCTGAATTCAAAATCGACCTGGAGAGGGTTTGCCGCCGTTAGCCTATCTTGTCCAATTCAGTATCGTCTTAGCTTGTCATTGTTCCTTCATCAATTGGGTACACGAGCAAAGACAAGCTGATGAAAATTTTTCGCAAAAAAAATCTTCTTTAGTGATGAAGCCCATTTTCATCTTGGTGGATTCGTTATTAAGCAGAATTGTTGCATTTAGTGACTCAGGAAGAGTGTAAACGTGATGATAGACATAAACGTTACTATTATATAAACATAACAAAGACTAGATCTTAAACAGATAAACATAAAAATAAATGAACAAAATTTAACAACCCCTACCTTGAGAATCGCTAAAGAAGTAGTCGAAATCGCCTGGCACGATAGATATCACTGGCAATTTTCACACTCACTTAGTCACAATGAACTGTCCGACCATTTGTGGGACCTTTACTTTATTCTCTTTTAATATTGTAACAATCTTAAAAACATTATCACCACGCTTGGACTGAAAAAAAAAAAAAGTAAACACGTGTCTTTTTTTTCATATTCAAGGTGATGGTTATATAATGTCTGAAGTTAAGTTCCGAAAGTGATTGATAAAAAATTAACAAAGAGTACCCTTTGATCATTAAGAATGTATATATTTTTGCCACTATTATAAAAGTATAACAGTACACAGTTAAAATGTTTCTAAAAGCGTGCGTTATTTTCCGAACATCGTAATAAATTACTATAATTTAGTAATAACGAAATATAATGATGAAAAAAAAAGCTAAACCGGTCATCTCTCGCCAAATCGAGAATAAAAAAAAAGAAAGAAAAAGACAATGTACATAGTGACAACTCCAGACTAATAAAGAGTGTTTCATTAAGACGGATCAAAGTCAGCAGTAAATAAATCAGTATTATTTGTGAAAATTTATTTATTTCTCTATTGGATCATGTTATTTAAGTCATGGCAATTATGTGTGGAAAATAACATTACCTGAATCAATCAATTTTTTGATAACTTCTCGATTTCACCAATATGTTTTATTATCTCATCCTTCAGCTTCTGAATTGTTGTTGTCTTGTTGCCATAGACCTTACTTTTGAGATGACCCCAAAAGGAAGAAATCTAATCGTGTCATGTCGCCCGATCATGGTGGCCAATTGATTGCCAAAAGATGATTCGACCTGTGACTTCTCATTCAGATTCTGTTTGAACGTCTATTTTCGTAATAGGCTTCGATAACATTAACACGTTGTTTGATTGTTATTCTTTCCATGGTAGAAATTGCCAAAGACGTAAGTTGTTAAATCCGAAAGAAAATGAAAAAAAAATCATTAAAAACTTAAACTTAATTCACATTTAAAATCGGTCCAAGTTATTGGAACGCCCGATATATGTGCACCATGCAAATTATTTAAGTGAAAGTGTATCCAATTAACTACAGTTTAATGGTAGCTCCTGATGAAATTTCATCGCCTGTGGTTTGAATTTTAACAACATCAATCTCTGTTGTCTATTAAACATCGGATGAAATTTGATGCAAACATCAAAAATTCAATTAATCCATTTAATCAACGGATTAATACAAGAATGTATTTTGCTGACCAAAAGTAAATGTCCGTAGGCGAGAAAGAAACCTTGAACCAGATATGAACTAAAACGCGAACACAATTTAAGAAGTAAACATTAGTCATAGGCCCTGTCTTTTAAGAAAACTACTTCTTAAGATGGTTAACCTCTTGTCGCTTCTATGTGTGCTGCCTGGCCGATGTTATGCGTCATACAGATTTGACTTGATAAGTTGACATTTGTTGGAAAAAGGACAGACGCCAGTGATTAGTTCGTGAATTTCACACGAATTTATTGCTATGGTGGGGGAGGGACTATTTAGGATTTATCAACTAATCACGTTGAGTTAAGATTTTAAGATTGTTATAGTGGGACTTATTTTATTTATTCACTTTCTGCACAGATTTGAGTAGTTTAATTTTAGCGCAATTATTTGCCTATCTTTTCCTTCCAGGCTATTGGCCATCTACTTTTATCAGACTACACAACGATAGTATATGACTGACCAACATATTATATAACACCAATCGCTCGTTCCAGGAATTAAGAAACGATTTCAGTGCTCAAACTAATTCTTATTTTATCACACCAATTCCCTTTTTCTGAAAAGAAGTTAGAAGAACATGGTCGCCAACCACATTCACATTGCGCAGACGCAGTAAGTTGTTACAGAAATGCGAAGCTTACGGCGAAATCACGTTGAAACATTGGTTTTCCTACGATCACCGAAGTTAAGCAACGTCGATCCTGGTCAGTACTTAGATGGTTGACCACTCGGGGATACCAAGTGCTTGGATGTTAAATTTTAATTGCACGGGTGATGTAATGAATTGCAACTTAGTACCGGAAATCAGAGAGACGAGTTCCAATTCAGGTCGGGTTCGTTATACGCACAAATACTCCTGAGAAAGGTATGGATCCAGTTCTTCACCCTCAGTTATGGATTAATTAGTATGTCAGTAAATCAATATTATCTCCAAACCTTCTTAAACTCCAAAAATATTTTCTAGTTTTAAGTAGACTGCAAATGGTTGACAATCCGTAACAAAATAAAACCAATACAGATATTCTGATACAAAAGCTCGATGTTATTTTATAAATAACATTGATGCTTTGCGTTACCTATATCTCTACCGAGGGTAAGATGATCAAATTTCCAATCGAAATGGTGTGTATAGTCTTGGGTATGACAGTAAACAACATCTGGTAGCAAGGCCTCTGATCGAGAAATTCGTGATACTGAGGAGAGTGAAAGCACCTCTTAATTGCAGTTGTTTCCAGGTTCACCCTGATCCGGGGTGGTAGAACCTGTTTGGGTCCCAGCTATAGGTAAATAGTAAAAACAAAATCCAAAGAATATGAAAGCATAAAAACATAATTTTATCGAATGACCAATAATACAACTTATCTGCATTTGAAAGCATACAGTTACGTTTAAAATAAATTTAGTTGAAGTCATAAGGTAATGTTCAAAACATTTAGATTTCCTCATTAAATAAGTCATAGATGTTGATATGTCGCCAAACAAAATCAACATATAAGAACTATTTTATGTCATTAATCCATATAAAATTCGAAAATTTCAAAGAAATCAAATTGTATTCAAAAGTATAACTTCAACAAAACTACACTAAAAAACACATGTATCACATCCACTAATAATCATGTCCTCAGAAACATGTATATGCAGAAAAGCTCACTATCATCTACCATGTATTCAACTGTGAAAGCAGAATTAAATAATGCGTAAGGAGTTGATATGCTGTTAAAAAAACATTCAACTACAAATACAAAAGACTACATTTGTTAGAAAACATATTCAGTTTAAATACCGGAGGGGTTTTAAAATTACTTCAGAAGGCCGCATTATTTTCCTGATAACCAAACGATACAGATGTCTATTTAAATCCTCTCTAAATTGTGAATTTCATTTTCATTTGCGTGTAGGCATATACATTTTAATTCAATAAGAGATCTCTTCTTTTTAACGAAAAAAAAAATCTTTTTGAAAATAAATCTATCTATTGCAGAGTAATTTTCGAAACATTCAATAAACTCTTAAAATTACCCTATTTGTTAGAATTTAACAGAACGTTTGTTTGTTTATTTTGTTTTTTTTCTTGTCACCAGTTTATTATTTTTATTGCTCAGGTTGTACAGACTAAAGACTCTTGTTAACTCAAACCAAGATCAAAGAACTGCTCAAGGTAGAGTGTTACTGAATTCAGTCGTCGTAAGTGTGTAAGAGGAGAAAACAGGAAGTACATATTATGAAAACCGGTAAGTAGAGGTTATGACTACAGTGATCGAGGAAGCATACACCCGAGATTACTTTCTACAATGTAACTTCTTCCTTACCAATGGAATATAAAAGGTAATAGGGATTAGTCGATTATTCCAATTTCTTATTTCAAATTTAGTCAAAATGTATGTTTTTGCGTGTACTTGTGTATACATTAAATGGTACAAGTTCATTTAAATCACTCGGGCTCAATACAAGCCAAGGTATATACATTGCACACGCAGATGTGTGAGACAAATAAAGAATCAGCACTTATAATCTGCGAATATAATTTTTTTCGATACAATTCAGGAAAGAAATATACAGGCTGCAACGGGTAAATTGTGGCCATTTTATATTTTTACTTTTGCGCATGCGTTTTTTTTTTAAATCGATTTTATCAACTGCACGGTATAGTAGGGTCAATGAGGCACCGTCTGTAAGAAAAAGAGTACCATGAAGCAATTCACTCCGCCAGAAATTTTGAAATGACACCTCAAATGCTCCAGTGTGAACATGTCATTATCATTAAATCTGATGACAGTGCAGAGGGTTCTAAAAAAAAGTTGGATAAGTATAATGGTGATGACGAAAGTGTTTGAAATAATCACTAGTTATGGCGACCTTATGCCTTCATTCATCTTCCCACCGGACATCAGAGTCAACACGGAGGCCTGCATCAAGCGACTTGAGGAGGTAGTACTTCAATGGGTCAAGAGGGTGACAGCTGGAAGACCCTATGTCTGGTAACAGGACTCTACACCATGCCACACAATTAGGAGAACCATGTCATGGCAGTCAGACAATTTACTCCACTGCATTACACTTTACATCAGGCCGCCTAATTCTCCAGACTGCAAACACATTTAGTATTATGTGTGGGACATAGTTGATCGAGAGACCAACAAAACACTTTGTAACACCAAAGATGAACTGAAAGCAAGGATTATGGCAGGCATTCACGAATTTAATCAAGATGACCGCTCAGAAGAAAAGCAGGAGATGCCAAAGTCGTCCAGAGTGCGTAGTTGAAGCCAATGGCGATTTTATTGAATAAATTTACTCTTTAGTATCTCAAGATATTTGTGTGGAATTGAGATGTCAGTGTTATTTTTGGGGGCGTCATTTAGACGATAATTTATCCATCGCACCCTGTATATGAATCGTTAATACCTTCAAAATAAAAGTCTTTTCTTTTAGTCATCATAGAGAACGATTTTTGAATTTCCTCAGCAAAAGGTTGATGCTAACCTTGCGGGGAAAGAACGCATTGCGCCTAAATGTCCTCATTTTCTACTGATATGAAGTGAGAGGATTATATTATATCAATTGATAACCACTGTCCTCTCATGTTAGATTTTTTTTTTTTTTTTTGCTAGAATCCATCTTGCACATTTATAAATCTACCATTCGTCCGTGCATTGACTATTGCTACCATATCTGGTCCGGTTCACCTGCTATATAACTTGAGATTTCTAACAAAATCCAAAGAAGGCTCTGTCATGTAATCGGCCCTGACCTGGCATCTCGACTTCAGTCATTTTCCCACCAATATAAAGAACCAATTCTTTCGAGAGTAATTCTAAGATAGACAACGTTTTCAACAACCTCGAGCCTCTGATCCTGAACAAATATGTTAGGTTCAACACACCGTTAACCTGAAAGGAATGTGTTTTTCACTGCCTCGCACCAGACAACCTTTCTCGTCAGAGTCCATCTAGCACATTAATAAATCTACCATTCGTCCGTGCATTGAATATTGCTACCATATCTGGTCTGATGCTACGGTTATATATCCCTAGATTTTTGACAAGAACTAAAGAAGGGTATGTAACGTTATTGGTCCTCACCCGGCACCTCGACTTATGTCGCTTCCACACCGTTCTGACTTAGCTTCCTTTTGTCTTCTCCATAAATATATCCATTGAAATTGCTCTTCTTCCTTGGTCACTACTCGATTGGTCTTATCGTTTTACTGTTTAAATAGCAATATGTAACCGTAACAGTTTCTTTTCTCGCCCTTCTCACCTGTGGAACCGACATCAGCCTTCCAGAAACCTGTTCTTTACCCGTCCTTTCTTGCTATCAAAATTTTCCAACTATTAAAGTTTTCTCAATCTCTTTCAATTTCATTATCCTCTTAAGCTTGAATGGGATTATCAACTTGATTTGGGTGAAATAATTAAGAAAAAACTTTAATTTCCCATATTTCTTATCCGACTTTCAAACCCAGTCGGGTTCATTAAAATTTCATTACGCGGAGATAATTCTGGGAAAGGTATGAATCCACTTCTTTCTCCCCGTCTATGGGTTAATTAATAGAGTATGTATAAGCTATATGTTAATTAGTAGAACCAGTAATTATCACCCTTAATTTCTTATATTATAAAAATAATTTCCTGTTTTAGATAACCTGCAAAGATATTAATTTAAAAAAAAAAAACGTAACTCTCACCTTACCATTTCTCATTCTCTTCCCACTGAATAACCCCTAGACCCTTAGTGGCCTCATCCCCTTGCTTGAGGTTAAATGATTTAAAGATTTATTTTTCTCATATTTTGTGTTAAATCAAGCTCCTAAAATGGTTTCTAAAATATTTGTATGACGCATTGAAAAAAATCTGGGATCCATAATTAAATAATAATTTTACTTTTAGACAATTTTTTTTACATTTCTTGCATTGGTTTTCACTAATTTGCTTTTTCTGTTAGGTTTCTTCATAGTTTTTTTTTATGCTATCTATACCTTTCTTTTGAACGCTTTCATAAGAAGGATAAGACTTCCAGTCATGCCTACCCACGCTTTGCTTTGTACGGCATCAACGTTGACCAATCATATTTAGAGAAGCGTTGTCACATGATATACAAACAAAAACACCGCTTGAAACAAAAGTCTCGCAGACATGACGGGAGAAAATGTTTCGTTAATAGTTAAATCTCGCCGAGTGTTAAAATACATACAACAAATGGGAGAAAAAAAAAGTTTCGTCAAACTTAACGATGTTTCTAAGTTTCGCAAAATTAGATTAGACTTTGGTAAAATCGAAGTTTTAAACCAATTTGGAAATGTTTTGTAATAATTGTTGCCTACCACAGACAGACAGGCGGTTTGTATCGCAGCCAACACGAATGTGCGATTGTTGTAAAGGATATCGACTAAGATTTAAAACTCGGAGAGCCAAGTTCGAATTCCGCATCTTAAGATTATATGAATTCATCTCCTCCCGCCAAGGGTTAAATAATAGAAATTCTATCTTAAAAACATTGTTCGCAAAGAGTTGTTAATGTAATATTCTCTCGCAAGAAAAAAAGAATTATTCTTAGAATCCAAAATATGATTCGGGTTTAAAGAATCCACAAAGGGTTGACAAACCATAAATAAAAAAAAATAATTCAAGTTAGAGACGTGTGTTCGATTCAGGCAATGTAAGCGGCCCAGAATTCCTTGCATTAAGCTAAGCTATAATGTATATATACCTTTCGTATCATCGAATACTCTTAAGAACGTAA